TGGTGATGTGCTGCACATGAAATGCAACTTTGCCTGTGTCAGGAACAGGTTTATGCAGCTAACCCTGATAAAAGACCCTAGCAAAATTATATTAAAATTAAAAAAAATAAAACTTAAAACAATAAACCCTAATTGTAAAATGATAAACCCCAAACAACTCTAAAACACGAAACCCCAATCATTATATTATGTTTTTTTTTTTAAATAAAGTAAAAAATAAATAAGAGAACATGAAGTAAAGGAACAAAAAATATAAGGGGTCCTAGAACCTAAACAGCAACTTAAACACGAAAGCCCATTTATTATATTTTGTTTTTTGAAAATAATAAAGTAAAAAATAAATAAGAGAACATGAAGTAAAGGAACAAAAAATATAAGGGGTATAATAGAAGCTAAACAGCAACTGAAGTAGTTGCTGATAAACAGAAAAAAGTAGCCCTAATAAGACTATACACTGTGAACTACAAAGAGTGTATAATATCTCCTTATCTACTCTCTACAGTTTGCAGTGATCCAGACTACGTGATGTAGAACATGGCATATAGAGTGGAGCAGTAAGGGCTGTGTAATACACAACATAGGGGGGGAATTTATCAAAACTGGAACAGACAAAGTCTAGAGCAGTTGCACAAAGCAACCAATCAGCTTCTCTCTTCAGTTTGTTCAGTTAAGATGTGAAAATGAAATAAATACGCTGATTGGTTGCCATGTACAGCTTCTCCAGTTTTTATCTGCTCCAGTTTTGATAAATTCCCCTCACAGTATATAGGCCCAAAACTATCTTTCATGTGTACTTACTGGTGTACCTGCATACTTTTCTGTATGGTAAAGTGAATAACCACAGACTGAACTTCCAAACCGGTTGTGCAGCATCCCTTAGTTGGATGAGCGGTAGTTGGACCCATCACCCAGTCCAGATTTAAATATATATTGTTCTCACACTTCCCTTTCTGGTTTTAGGGCTTGTTCACACCAAATACAGATCTGCATGAGTTTCTGCACATGCAGTGCAGTGGGTTTTTGATGCGTTCCGGGCCTGCTGCGGTTTTTTTACATGCTCTGGAACTGAACGCTGCGGTGTGAACTAGAGCCCAAAATACCATTGGAATACATTGGACGCAGTTTTGATCCTTTCTGTAACTGCTCTGCTCCTGAAACGTGCTTGGTGTGAACTAGCCCTTACTCATGTGATGCTTTCACTACAGCACCGGGACATGTGGTAGAACCATGATATCCCAGTATTTTGCTCAAATTCTGGGATAGTGCTGCAGGAATGGGGAGGGTTGGGAGTGTATAAACGTTCCTTGAAATACCATACTAATTACTCTTTAGACTGAAGGTCCTGCTATTACATCTTGCCCTACAAGTGTGAGGCATGGGGCTTTGAAGAATATGGGTGGTGATGCATGTGAATCCCTGATTTGGATCTCTTTTTTTTTATACCAGGTCATACACCACAAAGAAACTGTTAATATGTTTAGAGCTGTCTGCAGAAAATATTTTCAGTTTCTCCAGACTGACAGGTGACAGATTTATTAAGAGCCACATTTACATTTGGCAGTTGGTTCACCCTCCTGTGAACAGAATAAGGAAATGAGAATGAAGCTAGAAAACTGCAGGTGAACTGTATTTTTAATATTTGCTTTGCACTAGTGATAGTTCTAAGGTGCTTTTGGACACTTCTCTGCATTAGAGATAGGAAGCTTGGGCAAATGTCCAGCTTAACTGTAAAGTAAAGATACAGACATACTTACACACAAGTAATGATTATTACCTAAGTTTATTTCTTATTCGAAGTACTTATATTCAATTAAAAAAATGTTCAGATGGGTAATGATATGTTTGAGTTATTTAATGTAGGCTAGAAAAAAGAAAGCTAATTGTCTTTTGTTTATTCATTGTTGATTACTTTTTCTACATCTGTTTCCTTTAGTGCATGGTCTGTGTAGAACAAGATAAAATTCAATGTTGGTCATTTAGGAAAAAGAGCAATAAAGAGTATGTGTACAAAGCAATAATGTAGATGCTTTTTTTAGTTTAGTTTTCTGTTAATTATATGTATTCAGTTCTATGACACACAAGTCAAATAACTTTAGTTTGTATACTCCTTTATTATACTAGAACTTCATTAAATGCTAATATGATCAAATTTGTTTTTTACTGCTGATAACAATGTGAAATTAATCGATTGACTGATTGCTATGGAAAGCGTGAAAACTTTTTTGCTATAGAAATCATCAAAATCAGTTTGTTGAAGTTAGACCAGTAAAATAATATTAAGTGATTTTTGTGGGTTAATGAACATTGTAGCTTGTTTGGTGCTTTATTAACCCCTTTCTACCCACAATCTCATTAATAACCTTCCCCAGCACAATGCCCTGCGGCTGGGGTACCTTAATAAATGTCCTCCACTTTAAGGGTACGATCACACCAGATGCAGTGCGTTCTGGCCGGAATGCACTGCATCGCATTGCAGCCGGCTCACTTTTATGTGGGGCAGGAGGGGGCGTGGCGGGCCATTGAAGTGAATGGCACCGTAGCCAAGCCCTCCTGCCACAATGCGATCGGGCGCACGGGATCGCAAGGCACATTATGCCTAAAATGCTGCAAGTACTATTATGATCGCACCACACCGGACCGCAGGCACAATGTGCCTTGCCATCCCGTGCGGCCGGAGGGCGTGGCTATGGTGCCATTCACTTTAATGGCCCACCACGACCCCTCCTGGCTCACAAAAAAGTGAGCCGGCCGCAATGCGATGCAGTGTGTTCCAGCCAAAATCGGACCTGAACACACTGCATCTGGTCTGAACCTAGCCTAAGAGCCAGTAGCCAACATTTTGTGGAGCTGCTGGCTCTTAATCCCAGCTCCCACTGTCGATTGGGAGTGGTTTCTGATCATATGTCAGTTCTGACAAAAAATGCCATGCAGACTGGGGACCTTCAGCCTCCAGATAAACACAGCTACCTTCAAGATTAGAAGTTTACCAGTGATGATATCTAATAATGTAAATGTCAGATATTATTGTTATATCAAAAGTAATAAAATAAATATATTTTTAAATCTTTGCACATTTACAGAATATTTTTTGACAAAAATAGTCTACCACATATAAACATTATATGTGCCCAAAAATATGTTTATTTAGCCCAAATTGCAAATTAGCCATATTGTTAAGATAGCCAACACATGCTAACTCTGATAAATTTGGCCTGGGCATTAAGATATTAATAGCTTCTGGTCATACATGGGTATTATATGCCAATAGTAATTAGAAAAATTATAACAATTAAGGGGATTTTATATTATTTTTCTTAAAGTGTATGATTTTAACTGTGTTTGTATCATTTGCATTACAGCAGGGCTCAAAATTTCCACTCGCCTGCTCGCATTTGGCGAGTGGAAATGCAGTGCAGACGAGTGGAAATTCAGTCAGGCTTGAGTCAGTACCTGACTTGTGGGAGCAGCTGCTCCTGCTGGTCTGTCTCCCTTCCTTTTCGGCCGGAGCTCTTCACTGAGCTCTGTGTCGAAAACGGAGTGATTAGTAATGACATTTTGACCCCTGCATTACAGTATACATAAAGAATCTCTGTTTTACAAAAATACTTACACTTTAATTCAGAGAGAGGGGAAGGAAGACAGTCTGTGTATGGCTATGTAAATGTAATGAATAACTTTTCCTATTTGCTCCCTCTTGGTCTGTTAAATATACAATTGAAAGTGTTTTCTTATATCTGTCCAATAAATGCAGAAAATACTTGGTGATCTTGTAAGCTGATAACTTCCTTTGCACTCTGCCTGTGCTATACTCTTATGAACTACATTGTTCTCAGCTATTTATGTAGACTACAAAACTGTTAAGTAGAAGACGAGAGGGTAAGGTGTTCTGTAGTCCTGTTATAGGGCAACGAAGCTGTTCCTCCATAGATAGGATGGTGTGAGTGACCTAGAAAAGTAAGTGTGGTATTGACAGGATCACTGGGTGATAATAAAAGATATAGGCTTGATGTAAGGACACATTGAAGGACTTGTATGCTGAAATATGTTAAATTTTTGTTCTGGGGTTTGGATATGCTTTAAAATACATACAGCCCCAACTGTGGAGAGTAGGCATAAAGGGAGAGGGGTCAATTATCTGATTTTACTTGAATGTTTATTTCCACTTTTGGAATTGAGCTCTAATTCAACTGGTTTTTTTCAACAAAGCAGGTTTAAATAACCATGAACAGGTTTCAAAAACTCCAACTGCTAACTGGATATAAACAAACTCAAATATTTGGATATGTGCAGAATTTCATATTCGCCTGACTTTTATAAATTAATAAATAAAGCATATACAAAATCACTATGCATTCCCTTTAACAAACATATTGTGAATATAAAATGTTACAGCTCTCACGTTTTTTTAGATATAGGGCGAACGTTAAAGTATTTTGCTGGGACAGTTACATGATTCATTTCTTTTTAATTAATAAGCTCCTTACAATAGTTATAGAAAATGTCCTAATATATTCACATTGGTGCTATAAATAAAAAAGACAAGTCAAATAAGACTGCTTCTGTGAACTGCTTGATTAAACAATTCAGTGTAATAAAATATTGAGTATCAATGATCTAGAACCAGTGGTACAGGAAATAATTTGTGTGGGTTGCAAAGCCAGCATTTGGCGCAATTTATGCAGTAGTCAGTTTTCTAGCCTTTGAATCCTGGCCAGAGCTGTAACTGGTTCTTAAAAGCAAAGAACAGATACTTTTGATAGATAGACTCCTCTGTGCTTAGCGCTCTTTCTTTTGATGTACTGTAGTGGTTTCTAACCATTTAACGACAACAAAACCATCCTATGATCTGAAGAAAGTTGACTCATGGGCAGACAATTCCAACTGTGCCTTGGAATTAATGATGAGTCACTGTTAGTTCAAATACAATGACAAAATAAAGCATTACATTTTACAAAAAGTTGACATGCATCTTTTTCTATTTTTTTTTTTTCTTTCAACAGAATCCACTCCACCTGCAGCTTAGCGTTGAAAACTCTCTAACATCAAATGCTGATGTGACTTTCTCTATTCTGACACTGAACAACTGGTACAATTATAGCATACTGCTGTGCCAAGAAGACTGGAATATAACAGATTTCCTCACCTTAACGCAAAATAATTCAAGATTTCACCTTGGATTAATCATAAATATCACAGTAAATTTAACCATGACAAATTACATGTTAAGCTACCTGCAGATGAATTTGGAGAGTGTTAAGGACACTACATCTACAATTGTCATGTTTGGATGTGATATGGAAGATACAAGACGTATTTTTGAAACTGCTGCCCAGTATGGAATAGGCTTACCAGATTTTTATTGGGTTTTTGGAGACTCTCAAAATGTTGATGAATTAAGGACTGAAGGATTGCCCTTGGGACTGATTGCTCATGGAACAACCACTGCTTCTTCTTTTGAACACTATGTGCAAGATGCAATGGAGCTGATAGCTAGAGCTGTTGCGACAGCTACGATGGATCAGCCAGAACTGGCACTTGTTCCAAGTACAATGAATTGCATGGGAAGAGATTCTCAAAATCTCTCATCTGGGGAGTATTTGTCCAGGTATGTTGTGGCTGTTTATTCTGAATTTAAGATTCTTTAGAGTGGGCATACTGATATGATGATTGTGTACCAATATGGACAATTCCTGCTGCGGAGCAAACACTTGGTTATTAATAAAATAATTCCACAAATAAAGCCAAGAATTGCTTTAAACTTTAGTGCAATTGGCTTGGTTGTTAATTAATCATTTACATTTTTAAGCTTTTGTCTGGCATCAGCATATTATGTAACCTTCACTTTACAGTACATTTACACAACTACCCAACCTGTTTGGGGCCTGCATGTAACACTTTTAGGCTCCTGAAGGGAGAGCAGTTTTTTTCTTGTTATTCAAATAATTGCATGTGATGTAAAATGGGGAGCTGTTTACAAATACACTCATCTCATTGCTAGACACAGCCACAATTGCTTGTAGTTTTTTTAGAGTATTATCCCATTCACTACCAATGACATGTCCCACGCATTATGGCTTTGTAAAAGGTAATGACAAGGGTTGTAGAGCCACCCAATATATTTTATGGGACTCACAGTGCCCCTTATTTTTCAACTAAAAATGCAGTTTTGAGTCCTGACATATTTAATTCATTCAACCTCATCACCTCATCTTTTATTTTTTACCTAAAAATTGAGGATTGAATTGTGTTTATGTGCACTTAAATTCATTTTATTGTATATTTTACAGAAAATATAGATTAAATAAACAGCTTCACAAATGTGCAACATAAACAATTTCAGCTAACACCTTTTAGTGTGGTATTTTTTGTGGTATTTTTCTAGCCAAAAATGCAGATTTTAATATTTTACTGCTATCCAGAATTCCTTTAGGGAGATTTTCCTCACTTCCGGTTTTGTTGACCGTGGTTTTACCTAGACATACTCTTTAATGTTACTGATAGTATACTAATAAACATTAATAACACTGTTTTGCCTTAATTATAACAATTTGTGTATTTTTATATTTCAATGATAGCAGTGATATGTGGTAATTTGGAGGAATTGAGAGCTGCCTGTGATGAGACAGAGACATTAGGAACTTATACAGTTATTGGGATTCCCACTAACGTTAAAATTACAGGCTGGTAAAACATTTTATAATAAATGAGCACCATACAATCCATATATTTTTAGATAAGTTTCAAGAATAGCAAGAGGATGTGTGTTTACCTCTTTGTGTTGTCATAGTACTGATAAAGCAGAAAAATAGCAAGCTGGTGAAAATTGTGGCCATTAACATGTGCATTAATACATGCAATACAATAAAACATTATATTTTTATGTTACTGAAGTGCATAAGTTAACTATTATTAATGACCTATGTTTATTTAACAGGTTTTTGGTACATACAACATTTAGTGGACTTAGTGGTCATATCAAGGTTAAGGATTCTTCTGTTATCAACTCAGAAAATCATTACTTCATATGGAATTTACAGCATGACCCCATAGGTAATCCAATGTGGACCCGACTTGGAAGTTGGCAGAATCAAAAAATAATCATGGATTATGGGTTATGGCCAGACCAAGCACAAAGGCAAAAAAGCCATTACCAACAACCACCTCGGCTGCACCTTAAAGTTGTTACCTTGGTAGAGCCTCCCTTTGTGTTCACAAGAAATGTAGATGATGATGGTCAGTGTCCAGCTGGGCAACTTTGCTTAGATCCCAAGACAAATGATTCTGCAATGCTAGACAGTCTTTTTGAAAGCCTACAAGGGGGAAATGATACTGTGCCTATTGCATACAAAAAGTGTTGCTATGGTTATTGCATTGACCTCTTGGAAAAACTGGCAGAAGATATGAACTTTGACTTTGACTTGTATATTGTCGGTGATGGAAAATATGGAGCTTTTAAAAGTGCTCATTGGACTGGACTTGTTGGAGACCTTCTTAGTGGTGCTGCCCATATGGCTGTAACCTCCTTTAGCATTAATACTGCCAGGAGTCAAGTCATTGACTTTACAAGTCCATTCTTTTCAACAAGTTTGGGTATTTTAGTAAGGACTAAAGATACAGCAGCTCCAATTGGAGCCTTTATGTGGCCACTACATTGGACAATGTGGCTTGGAATATTTGTATCACTACATATTACTGCAATATTCTTAACACTATATGAATGGAAAAGCCCGTTTGGCATGACACCGAATGGCAGAAACAGAAGCAAAGTATTTTCCTTCTCTTCAGCATTAAATGTGTGTTATGCTATACTGTTTGGCAGGACAGCTGCTATCAAAACTCCCAAGTGCTGGACTGGAAGGTTTTTGATGAATCTCTGGGCTATATTTTGCTTATTCTGTTTGTCAACATATACTGCTAATTTGGCAGCTGTCATGGTAGGGGAAAAGATTTACGAGGAGCTGTCTGGAATACATGATCCTAAGGTAGGTCATACTTAATCTACATTTTCATATATTTATAGTTGGTTTGAATGTTCTGTCATTTTTATAGTGTTTCTGATCAAATAAATGAAGACCACGGTGCTCTGGAATGAATGACATCAATGTGATCTATCTTAGAAAAAGTATGGCAATAATGAATTTTATTGAGTACTTTAGCAGCTTAACATACTTATTATGCCATTATTAAGTACTGTCACTGGCAATAACATGGAATGGTATATGAATTCATGATAGCCAAAAGCTCAGTAACTATGATTACATTTTCCAATTTCTCATGAGAAATAAAGTTTCTTCTATTATTGTTTTGTGTCTCTTCATTGCTGTAACCTTTTCAAAATTGTTATTTCTCTCAACAGGATAAGCAAATAGGGAACAGTAAAGGGCATATACAAGCTAGTTTACAAAATTATGGGTTGATTAAGTAAAGGGCATCTAACTTTGTTTAAGAACAGAAAACCTCAACCATTTAGTTGTAAGGAAAAAATGCATTACCCCTCACTTTATGTTTGAAGAAAGCCAGGTATTCTGGGGTGGAGACAAAAAAATGTATTGTTTTTAACTGGGACTTTCTATTATCTAAATAGAAACCATGGGAAATAAAGATGAGCTTGGACCTACTCATTCTCACCTCTCAAACTTTAAAGTAGATGTAAACCCTGCCTGTTTTTTGTTTTTGTTTCTAAGCACTGTGTATCATAAACAATTTTATAAACAGCTTTTTTTCATCCCTTCATTCTGCTGATCTCCTGCAGCCTCTTTGAACCCACTTTTTGTCTATGTACATACACTCCAGTAATGGCTGCATGCATTTCTCGGGGTAATGGTGACCATGCCTGGCTAATGTGTGTTGAAACGGCTGCTTGTAGTCTGCATCAGATGCCCATGTGACAGGTTGACAATGCAGGAAAACAATTGGGAGGTGGGTACAGAGTGTTGTTTTCCTAAAAAAGCAGGTGCCTAAACCAGGCAGGTTCATGGCAGGTTTACTAGGTATTATTTTAGTAAAGCTGCACACATTTTAAAAATTGCTTTTCAATTTCATTCTTTTTGGAGAAGCCATGCTTGGTATAATACTTTAAACTCTACCCATTTTTTTAGAACAGCAGTCTATTTCTTTGAAAGAGAATAGGAGGTTAACTGCCTAAAATTACATAAATAAATGTAATGATATAGGAAATATTATAATTATCAAAACAATGTTATCAATATTATTAGGGTTGCACAGATACCAAGTACAGTACTCAGTACAAGTACGAGTACATGTACCGATACTTTTGAGCTCCAAGACCAGACTAGAGAAACATTCAGAAGTTAGGATTCAGCTGTCATTTATAAGGAGCACACGGAGCTCCTGGGATTAGTACATCTCTGTATTAATGTACGATTTTGTTTTTATAAATGTAAATAAAGTGATGCACAGATACCAGTTTTGTGAGTACGAGTACTGGTACTTGCCGAGTACTTACAAGTACGAGTACTGATACATTTTTGTTTATTGTCATGTGACAGTTTTTCTAAAACAATACAGACGAATGATTTCAGGACAGTGGTGGAGCGCCAGAGCCAGGTCCCAGCTGCAACCTCTGCAACCCTGGTAGTTCTCATGAAAATGCCAAGTATCTGCACTGGTACTCGAAAAGTATCTGTGCATCCCTAAATATTATATATTCACTACTTACGTCAATTATTAGATGTGCCTTACTCAAAAGTCTTTTACTATGGATGCACTGAAAACAGTTCCAAAATTAATTATAGGGTTACCACATCCATAGCCTCCCAAAGAAGTAAATCCACTCCTATAGTATACTGTACCTCGAAAAAGGATACTTACCAACACGTTGTTAGGAGAAGAGCTCGCCCCACAGGCACTTGTTAAAGCAAAGGAACACTGCGGAGACTGGCCTTCCTTTAAATCCTCCACTGTACATCAGCTCCAGTTTACTCTGACAGGCCATGACATGATAATATTATGCTGCATGGTGTGAAGCACAATATAATGGCCTATGTAGGCAGTAACCTAGAGGATATAGCTCTCCCACCCCAATTAGCCACCTCCACAAAGTAGGAAGCATAACTACACACATAAAGGGGAACTGTGTGAGTGGGGACCACTGGCAAGCAACCAAAAAAAAACTACTGAGCCATGGGCAAAAATTGTACCATCCTTTTCCTGTGCACAACCTGTCCTAAAGCTCCAGAGGTACAAACCCAACAAGGGGCGGGGGACTGTAGTGCAACCATACAACATTAAAAAAAGACTACATAGGGAGGAAAATAATCTAACCATCAAATTTTCAGTGTTTAGCAAGCTCTTAAACATAAAACATTTCACTATATGTACAATGTATTCTTGAATCCGATTATATATAGATATATATTGTAAATATTTTTACAGCAACACAAAGGTTTGAAGCTGGTTGACTCATTCAAACCTTGTGAATTCATCCCCATCATATTTTAAACAATTCCAACTAATTTCCAAACAATGTATATTCCTAAAATTACCACCTCTTGGGTCACAAACCCCCTAATGATACACATGATGAATTATAGAGGCTATGTGTTATCCCACAGGGATAGCCATGTTCACATTATTAAATTAATAAACATGATCATACAGTATATTCTTTGCCAGGAAGGTAGTTTAGCAGCCTTATCTCATCACTATGAGATGCAATTATTTTACCTTTTGTAAAAAGTTTATAAAAATATGTAATAATAATTATGATTTACATTTCTAAAATTTCTTGAATTATGGGGTCTTCTGAGAGTACTGGCTGTAGATCTTTGATGATTTTGCGTATTACCTCTAAAGTGGGGTTGTAGGTAATTACAAGAGGGGTCCTGGTTGGGTTTTTCTTCTCCTTGTACTGTAGGAGTCTTTCTCGTGGTGTTTTTAGAAAAATTCCTTAAGCCTCAGTCTTCTAAAGAATTCTTCAAGGTCTGAGTATAATTGTATGTGGTCCACTTTGGTGCTTGGGCAAAATGTAAGCCCCTTGGATAGGACTGCTGTCTCCTGTATTGTGAGGTGATGATTTGAGAGGTTAACAATCTCAGTATTGTCTGTGCAGCTTTCACGGTTGTTAACCATTTCAGCTTGGATAGGGACATAGGTAAGTTCCAGAGGATGAAATTTGTTAATCTTGTGTTTGGGACATCTTTATTCTGTGCAAGGTTTGCCAGTTTCTTCTTTTTCTTACTGATGAGGCTTTGTTGTTTTTTCCTGTAGAAATAGTCCATTTGTATTTCCAATTTTTTGGCTTCAGGTGTCATTTGTAGGAGACTATGGAGTAGGGATTGTCTCTGGCAGTGTAATCTTTGTCTTTTTCCATATAGTTGATGAATTAGGAGGTTGTGTAGTTTCTCACTGCTTCGTCTGCAGATGTTCTCAGCTGCTGGTGAGTTGTGGGTAGTTGAGAGTGGGTTCTTCATAGTAAGTCCCTTTGGAATGAGGTTCATTTTCTTACAACGGGTAAGAAAAAATATGTCACTGTTGATCTGAGTTTCTTTTCCAATCATATATATATATATATGGGATATTAGCATATAACTTTTTTTCACTATAAACCATATACTGATATCAGCCATTAGTGTATTTCCAAAAGATAACTACAGCTTTGTGCAGTCAGCTTTAAGTGTACTTCTGTTGGTAATTTACTTTCCTATTCACCCTTCTGATTGCCAGTTAGAATCTATTTGATTATAAACATAACATTTTTGTAGTCACTAATGATGTGAAACACCACAATTCCACCAGTTAGAAGAAACTATGTTACTTTTGATTTGGCTTAAGGTCTTGGAGACATTTGTTTTTTCTTTCTTTTCTTTTCTACTCAGAATCATTTATTTTGTTATTGTTGAAATGTACCCTTTGATTCAGTGGGAATTTTAATAATTGGCCATTTTACCTAGATACTGCAGTTATTGGAATATATAAAGCCTATCAAAATAAAATTTTAAAAAGCCGCCCTTGCAGTGTGGCTACATCCGCACTGCAGGGGATAGCTTCTCCTCATTTTTGTTAAGAGGTATTGTGTAAAAGACTTTAATGATCCCTGCTCCTGCTGGCTATAAAACCAGCACACACAGCTTCTTCATCCCTGCACTTGGTCGGAGGCCCACTGACATCATCACTTCTTTTATAGGGCCCATAGCCCTGCATTATATATGAGGGCATGGAAGGACAGTTCACAAGCCAGGGTGTAAAGGAGAGAGGTGAGTGCAGACTGCGAAGGGAGTGGGGATTAAGCAAAGATAAGTCCTTTATATAGGTTTTTCCCAAAGAAAGGCTTTAAAAAATATGCAGGGATGTTGTGTTGTATACTTTTAAAATTATACAGTTAATATTATAAAGTTATCTAGCAGTCTAGGCTAGGGACCCAACTATATGCGGTAATCAGTGCATTACTGTTGTCAACTCTTACTTGGCTTGTGCATCTTCCTCCCAGAAGATATGCAAGGGGAAGCTTTTAAAATCCAGTCTTTTTGACACTTTGTGTCTGTGTTTGTACAGTTTACTGCTCTTTAATGGTTTTGTAAAACATCAAAACACAAACAAAGCAATGACTAACATAAACAACTGCAAGTCTGTAATAACGGCTCCAAAACACAGCAAAATATCCCACAACTCAATTGTAATGTAACTAACAGCATTATTTATCAACATGTAGTGTGTAAAATAATATGCAAATTTACCAAAATATTTGTGAGCTAGTAATATAAGAGTGTGAGCAAATAATGGGTCTATAGGAATACTCAGGTGTCACACTCTACAAGTGTTGGCTGTTACTGTTCTCAGAGCTAAATTCTTAAAGCCTGTAAAAATCGTCTATTTGTGCTTTCAGATCTCTAACTATAATAGCTGCTGTAAAGTTAGTGAACAACCTAATCAATTAGTTGGTAATCCCATAGAAATATCGGTGACGTCATCACTGCAATTCATAAAAAGCATCTTTGGCTGGGCACCCAGAAGAAGCACAATG